GAGCAGTTCTATTTGACGATATATATATATATATATATATATATATATATAAAATCAAATACATAGACGTGTACAAGAATGAAAACATATAATACGTGTTTGTGTGTACACCCATGCACAAAACTAGCTCCAACCACGGACAAAAAAAAAAAGAAATTCAATTCCACCTTCATGACCCCCTTGTCAAATGGTGTGACACAAGGAACGCTCGAGAAGAGAAAAAGAAATGAAATGGACAACATATACCYAGAAGGAGATGAGATGAGAGACAACATTCAAAATTCAAATCCATTTAAAAGGACCGCATTCATACAAGTGGCACATGTGYTGCATTCATTAAAACAACCTCGATCACAACAATTGACATTGGCGAGAACTTGCATGTCACTGTCCCGATTGCRATGCACACTGTGCACGGACGCTGTCCATGGACTCCATACGAGAATGAAGCGCCGATGATGATGTCGGCGGTGGTTGGGACGTCGATGATGATTGTGTCGACAAAGATGATGAAGTCGAGTTCGATGACGGCGGCGATGATGATGGTGATGACAAAGTATCGYCATCATCATCATCATCGYYGYCMTMATATAACTCGTCATCATCATCATCGTCGACACCATCATCTCCCACGTCCCAACCACCACYGACATCACCACCGGYGGTTTGTTTCGCCACGGACTCGCCCGATGGATCCCACTACTTACATGACACGTTCCCAAAAAAACGACACATGTAATCCACACAGAATCACCGCCAACAAYACCGCTGCAGACATGTCATCATCATCTTGTTAATGGCCGCCGTCATATARCTCGTCATCATCATCATCGCCGCCATCATATAACTCGTCATCATCATCATCGCCACCATCATATAACTCGTCATCATCATCATCGTCGCCGTCATATAACTCGTCATCATCATCATCGCCGCCAACAACACCGCTGCAGACATGTCACAACACCGCTGCAGACGAGATCATCCTATCTGCCCGTTTGTTGGGCCACAACATCGAAACAGGCATTGATTGCTTCCTTAAAAGGAAGGATTGACCTGCTTCGGCACTCCACACTCATTGTGCCTCAAACCTTCTCTCCCAAACACTATGGCGAAACAGCGACTGATTAACCTATCCCGGAACCGCAACACSGGGAACGACCCCAACGACAACGAAAATAAACCCGACGATCGAATGTCACCACCGCACTCACATTGCCGCACATCATCGGCGGTTAACGTCCATGGCAATCACCATTTACGGACACGAAGGTCATCCTCAGGTACCCATGTATCCACCAGCCCGTGCAAGTACCCCCTGCCCTCCAAAAGGGGGTCGAAGATGGTGTCGTACCAAGGCATTTCGCCCATGCGGTTCTCAAACTCTTCGGCAATGGCGGACACAAGGTACTTGATGGTGTCCCCCACCGCGTCCCGGTGGGGATCTTCCCATTTGTTTGGCACCACCTCATGCCTCTTCGTCACGAAGAGGAGGACATGGCTCAAAGCGCCATCGCCGACAAACCCCAATCCAGTCGTGATGTCCATCGCATGGACATCGTTGACGTGCACTTCATACACACGGGTGTCGTGATGTGTGACACCGTTATAGAAAACCATGTCACGCCCGTGACGCCCGTTGCGTTTGTCTGGGATCTCCGCGATGATCACGTCGCGGCCGCAGACCCACTTCCACACTACAACAACGGGAGCCATCCTCACTCTCTCTCTCTCGCGCACTCGCGCGTGAGCGCGTGCACGCGCGCGCGCGGCACACACTGATTTGCACACACACCGAACGGTTTCGCCGAGATGATGAAGACAACTGCAGAACGTACGTCGACAGAATGGCGAAAAGAAAAAGACGCACCCGCAGCCCAGCAATGCGATCGCGTTCCAGCACAGGTGCTCCCCGGTAGCCCATGCGATGTTATATACATCACCCCGCCCTGGCTTCATGATCTCCCCAGCAGACGCACTTCGAGCGATCAGTCGACGTCCATGATAGACGTCGACAGCGATGACAACGGTGAAGTGCCGGCGGATATAACCAGTTGGACGCCTGGAGGAGTTGGCGATGGTGAGGGAACATGGCATGATGACACGGGCGGGTCCTGTTACGGGGCAGATGAAGGAAACGACGGCGACGACACTTCCACGCAGCAGGGGGAGATGAATGATGAAGATGGTGGTCGTCGTGTGGAGGAGGGGGTTCAAGGGCGTCCAGGCGAGGATGTGAATGCGGCGAAGGGTAATCAGCAGAAGCGTCATGGTGGGCGGCCTCCGACCACCAACCCGAAACCGAAGGTGCCGTGGACGTTGGACGAGAGGATCCATCTCGCGAGGATGATGCAAGAGGACGACGCCCTCATGGCGGACGCCAACGGCCAACACCGCATGATGCAAATGAAGGATCGGTACGCATGGGTGGTCGCACGGATGAAGGAGGCCGGGTACATGCACAGGACAATAGAGGATTGCCTGAAGAAGTGGACCAACATGATGACGACGACGAAGCTCATCCTCGACAAGCAACAGAAGAAGTCGGGGGAGCCATCGTATTTTGACATAACAATTGAGGAGCGGAGAGAGAGGAGACTGCCGCTGTCTTTCGAGAAGGCATTGTGGGACGCGATGACGTGGAAACTTGATCGACCATCCATCCAGTGYGACAACACGATGGCGTCGGAGTCACTYCARGGGAAACGACAGGAACCATCACCGACGGTCGGATCCGACGCAACGGGRACGGAAGAGTCRGAMAGCTCAAACAAGGCACGTAGAACAGGGACCGACAAAGCGAGGGTTCATGAAGGYRGCTCARGCGGATCGTCCTTGAGCAAAGTAATGGAAGACTCAACGAGATCGTATTGTCAGGGCCTTGACAATGCGGCGGCCGCCCTGGCGAGAGCGACAATGGGAGTAGGCACGACAATAGCAGCGATAATAGGTGATGTAGCCGATGCAATGAGAGGGGGAAATTCTGCGTTGGAACTATTGGTGGGGGT